TGAATCACCTTGAAACTGAAACCCTTGCAAAACACGCGATGGGATTACAAGAATTGTTTCATAAAGTTTTTATTATATTAATAATATCTTCTCTTCTAATTTATTTTTTATTTAAAAACATCAGCGAGATCAATAACACAATTTGCCATAAATCGTGAAATTGACGTTCTGTAAAACACGCGATGGGATTGCAGAACTATCTCACGAATTTATATATATATATATTTTCTTTAGATCTTTATTCTTCTTTCTTTTTTTTTTTTGCTAGTGAAGTCCTGCAAAACGCGCGATGGGATTGCAGAACTATTTCACCAATTTATATTTTAATTTTTTTTATATTTATTCTTCTTTCTTTTTTGTTGGTGAAGTCCTGCAAAACACGCGATGGGATTGCAGAACTATTTCGCCAATTTATATATTAATTTTTCTTTTAATCTTTATTCTTCTTTCTTCTCTTTTTTTGTTGGTGAAATCCTGCAAAACACGCGATGGGATTGCAGAACTAAATCACTTTAACTTCTCACAAATTTTTGATAATTATTTGTATCTATATATTCTTTATTTTTTTTTTTACAACTATTCACAGTAAACTTTAATCTTTTTCCAATTTGCTAAGATTTGCCGACGGCATTGGGCCTTGGCCAAGTTTATTTTAATTTCAAAGAATTGCACTGCACTCATCTTCTTTTTTTTTTTTTCTTTGTTATTATTTTTCCTTAATTTTCTTTACACGTCCTTTAAATTTATAAAACTTTTTTTGCTTGTTTTGTCATACTATCACGGTTGCATCTTTTCATTTTAATTCGGGCATTATATTGATTCACAAGAATACTTCACCTTCCTATTGTGTGTACTTCTTACAATGTAACAAAGATGATAAGGTCCATCCTGATTTGTCAGTCGGCTGCGCCAGTTATGGTTCCGTTCCTGGATCCAAAGAGTGGGTTTCTCCTGGTTCTGGTTACTGGTCCTCGGATAGTTCTTGATTTGGTTTTAAGTCTCGGAATAAAATGGAACCGCTATGTTTGGAGTTAATTCTCAAACTGAAAACTATATTGTTCAGCGGTGGCTGAGTAGCCGCCGCTGCCGAAGTGTACATAGAGTCTTATATGCTAATACATAAAATGCTTATACATAACTACAAAGTGAAATAAATGAATGTTTATCTGGAACACCAATCCAAGTGCTGCTCGTGTCATATTTCCTGAGGGTCGGGGCATCCTGTTGCAGTGTCAGCAAAACGTTAGCGGGGCAACGACTCAAGTGGTGTATATCGTGTCGTATGTACTTAAAGTTACTGGTGTTGATTTGAAGCTTGTAGTGTAGAGTGCTTTCTTCGGTGCTGTATTCTTGTGGCATTTACCTGTAAGATAATATTATTTACTCAACTTCTTACATAAGAAAACCCTTCCATTGGTTAATGGTGGTCCCAAGATTTAAATTACCGACGTATATAAGAAAACAAGCAAAAGATTTCTTATTTCTCAACAAATTGTATATAAGGTGTACTGAAACCAGCCTTCAATGAAGTTCACTTGAATCACCTTGAAACTGAAACCCTTGCAAAACACGCGATGGGATTACAAGAATTGTTTCATAAAGTTTTTATTATATTAATAATATCTTCTCTTCTAATTTATTTTTTATTTAAAAACATCAGCGAGATCAATAACACAATTTGCCATAAATCATGAAATTGACGTTCTGTAAAACACGCGATGGGATTGCAGAACTATCTCACGAATTTATATATATATATATTTTCTTTAGATCTTTATTCTTCTTTCTTTTTTTTTTTGCTAGTGAAGTCCTGCAAAACGCGCGATGGGATTGCAGAACTATTTCACCAATTTATATTTTAATTTTTTTTTATATTTATTCTTCTTTCTTTTTTGTTGGTGAAGTCCTGCAAAACACGCGATGGGATTGCAGAACTATTTCGCCAATTTATATATTAATTTTTCTTTTAATCTTTATTCTTCTTTCTTCTCTTTTTTTGTTGGTGAAATCCTGCAAAACACGCGATGGGATTGCAGAACTAAATCACTCTAACTTCTCACAAATTTTTGATAATTATTTGTATCTATATATTCTTTATTTTTTTTTTACAACTATTCACAGTAAACTTTAATCTTTTTCCAATTTGCTAAGATTTGCCGACGGCATTGGGCCTTGGCCAAGTTTATTTTAATTTCAAAGAATTGCACTGCACTCATCTTCTTTTTTTTTTTTTCTTTGTTATTATTTTTCCTTAATTTTCTTTACACGTCCTTTAAATTTATAAAACTTTTTTTGCTTGTTTTGTCATACTATCACGGTTGCATCTTTTCATTTTAATTCGGGCATTATATTGATTCACAAGAATACTTCACCTTCCTATTGTGTGTACTTCTTACAATGTAACAAAGATGATAAGGTCCATCCTGATTTGTCAGTCGGCTGCGCCATTTATGGTTCCGTTCCTGGATCCAAAGAGTGGGTTTCTCCTGGTTCTGGTTACTGGTCCTCGGATAGTTCTTGATTTGGTTTTAAGTCTCGGAATAAAATGGAACCGCTATGTTTGGAGTTAATTCTCAAACTGAAAACTATATTGTTCAGCGGTGGCTGAGTAGCCGCCGCTGCCGAAGTGTACATAGAGTCTTATATGCTAATACATAAAATGCTTATACATAACTACAAAGTGAAATAAATGAATGTTTATCTGGAACTCCAATCCAAGTGCTGCTCGTGTCATATTTCCTGAGGGTCGGGGCATCCTGTTGCAGTGTCAGCAAAACGTTAGCGGGGCAACGACTCAAGTGGTGTATATCGTGTCGTATGTACTTAAAGTTACTGGTGTTGATTTGAAGCTTGTAGTGTAGAGTGCTTTCTTCGGTGCTGTATTCTTGTGGCATTTACCTGTAAGATAATATTATTTACTCAACTTCTTACATAAGAAAACCCTTCCATTGGTTAATGGTGGTCCCAAGATTTAAATTACCGACGTATATAAGAAAACAAGCAAAAGATTTCTTATTTCTCAACAAATTGTATATAAGGTGTACTGAAACCAGCCTTCAATGAAGTTCACTTGAATCACCTTGAAACTGAAACCCTTGCAAAACACGCGATGGGATTACAAGAATTGTTTCATAAAGTTTTTATTATATTAATAATATCTTCTCTTCTAATTTATTTTTTATTTAAAAACATCAGCGAGATCAATAACACAATTTGCCATAAATCGTGAAATTGACGTTCTGTAAAACACGCGATGGGATTGCAGAACTATCTCACGAATTTATATATATATATATTTTCTTTAGATCTTTATTCTTCTTTCTTTTTTTTTTGCTAGTGAAGTCCTGCAAAACGCGCGATGGGATTGCAGAACTATTTCACCAATTTATATTTTAATTTTTTTTTATATTTATTCTTCTTTCTTTTTTGTTGGTGAAGTCCTGCAAAACACGCGATGGGATTGCAGAACTATTTCGCCAATTTATATATTAATTTTTCTTTTAATCTTTATTCTTCTTTCTTCTCTTTTTTTGTTGGTGAAATCCTGCAAAACACGCGATGGGATTGCAGAACTAAATCACTCTAACTTCTCACAAATTTTTGATAATTATTTGTATCTATATATTCTTTATTTTTTTTTTACAACTATTCACAGTAAACTTTAATCTTTTTCCAATTTGCTAAGATTTGCCGACGGCATTGGGCCTTGGCCAAGTTTATTTTAATTTCAAAGAATTGCACTGCACTCATCTTCTTTTTTTTTTTTTCTTTGTTATTATTTTTCCTTAATTTTCTTTACACGTCCTTTAAATTTATAAAACTTTTTTTGCTTGTTTTGTCATACTATCACGGTTGCATCTTTTCATTTTAATTCGGGCATTATATTGATTCACAAGAATACTTCACCTTCCTATTGTGTGTACTTCTTACAATGTAACAAAGATGATAAGGTCCATCCTGATTTGTCAGTCGGCTGCGCCAGTTATGGTTCCGTTCCTGGATCCAAAGAGTGGGTTTCTCCTGGTTCTGGTTACTGGTCCTCGGATAGTTCTTGATTTGGTTTTAAGTCTCGGAATAAAATGGAACCGCTATGTTTGGAGTTAATTCTCAAACTGAAAACTATATTGTTCAGCGGTGGCTGAGTAGCCGCCGCTGCCGAAGTGTACATAGAGTCTTATATGCTAATACATAAAATGCTTATACATAACTACAAAGTGAAATAAATGAATGTTTATCTGGAACTCCAATCCAAGTGCTGCTCGTGTCATATTTCCTGAGGGTCGGGGCATCCTGTTGCAGTGTCAGCAAAACGTTAGCGGGGCAACGACTCAAGTGGTCGTTGCCCGATTTTGTACATTGTTTAGATTGCAACATAATTGTATCCGTATAAATATGAAGTGGCCGCCCAGTCAGCGTACCAATTCTAGGGTAGCTCTGGGTGGCTTGGCCGGGGGGTCGTTACCTACCGACTGGTCGGTAACTCCTGCACTAGGTAGATTAAAAAATATCCATTTTCTTATACAGCTTCAAATATTATTTTTAAAATACTCGTTGGGCTATTTGATTGTCGGTTATCCGACTACGGAAATCGCACACAACGCTTATAACAGAGCCAGAAACTCTGAAGGTTCTGAGCTAACTTGGGTAACCAGGTATCGTATTGCTATTTTATAAATATATTATATGAAGCGTGGATTTAACTTGACCAACTCAAAAAAATCAACAAAACAACATCGTCTTTTTTATATTCATTCAAATAGCATATCATGATTCATTTTTATAAAAATAAAAATAGCGGTACATTGATTAAATAATAATGCGGTGTTAACTAACAACAAGTGTACAACAGAGCGGGAACAGATCACGTTAAATTCATATCTGGATACATCATACTGGCATCTTCTAAGTGAATAATACCAAACTACTCCAGTAGTGGGAGCATAACGGACACGGTATATTTCAATAATAAATACGCGGTCATATTATTTTATTAGAAATTCTCAGAAAGTAATGAGTTCATATATTGATCCCGACTATTCTATAGGTCGCAACCTGCGACAGAGACAAAGGAGAATAGGCGTTTATAACGCAAATGAAGGAATAGATTCAGACAAAAATAAAAGAAAAGGAAAGAAGAAAGGGCAATGCTTCGGAAAAAATAGCGCGTATGATGAATACGGAAATATCCGCATCAACGGTCTAGATATTTGTGAGAAAATTAAAAATATACTTTCAAGGGTGTCACATAAATCGAAAAGCGCTGAATTGGAGGAAGTTTTTTATTTTGATCACCAAGCTCTGGAGTTCATTTTTGTGGCACCCCTGAAACAGTTGACATTTAAAATAAAATATGTTTATTTTCAGGCGACTGCTTAAATAAAGAATGTGAAGGTTGTTGGTATGAGTGCCGTAGTTGTGGCTCTACCAGATGTGGTCCTCAATGCCGCTCAAATCGAAAGTTCTTCTACGAAGGCATTACCTATGATGGAAAAGACTTATCTATGCATAATAAATATATTCCAAAATAAAGTAATGAATTATTCTATAGGCTTAAGCTACACAATTGAATGAATCGAACAAAACAACCAACTTGTATAACTCTGTGTATATTTATGTATGTATATCCGGTTATATCTAATTAAATAAGAAAACTTCAATTTTTTATAGGTTCTGCCTGACCGTTCGTATGAGCGCCGAGATCTCGGGAACTATAAAAGCTAGAAAGATGGGTTTTGGCAAACAAAGTGTTTAATCTCGGAAACAGCCGAAATGCTGCATATCTCCTTCTCCCTTCCACTTCCTTTAGTTGAGTAACGGGTATGTAATATTCGAGGCCGTCGACTATAGCGTTCATTCTTGTTTTTGACTGAGTTGTCGAGGTCACTCGGACAACCGACAAAATTTTTTTAAATAAGTATAACATTTTGCGGTGTTCATTCTATTTTGCAAATCGTTGGTATCTGTAATTCGATTGTATTTAATTAATTGCATTTGTCAAATTCGCATTTATTTACTTCTTGGACACTGTAACTTGCTGTTCTGTTAAACTGCTATAAATTTGTCTGAGGATGCCCAGCTGGGTCGCCTACTCCGCTGGAAGTCATCTATTGAGGACAGGAGAAGAGCTTTCTGTCACTATTACAAAGCTAAATGAAGGGTCCAATCTCAGAGTAATCGGCCATGTATTACTAAGTCATCCAAACATTTTATAACGGACCCGAAATATATTTAAAATAAAAAATTTAAACGAATTTATAGGAGCTTTAATATACATTTGTATACAAGAAGCAAAAAATTAACAAGAAAGGAAAGGATACCCATGCAGTTACGATTATTAAATTTAACGAGGAAGATCGCTATAGTCAAGTACCTCGACTATCCGATACCCGTTACTCACGAAAAGGGACCAAAGGGAAATAAAGATATGCAAGCAGCAAAGCGAGATTAAAATGCGCCACCTACCGGGGTAGACAGATTTAAGCGTTATGGGCGTTAGAGTAAGCGTGGCAAATTTTTTTTTTATCAATCGATAGGTATTGACGCGACCAATACATTTCAGTTAAAATTTTTATTCTAGCATGAAAATTGTGGGCGTCAACAAACGTGCGCTGCGTACAAGGCTACGAAATCCAAATCTGAGGTCTCAATTCTCTATCTTTGATAGTTTCCTAGATATTCACGTTCATATTTACGATTCTTTGAAGTTTCTGGGCGTGGCAAACTTTTTTTTGGGTCAATCGATAGGTGTTGATGACAACAATACATTCCAGATAAAATTTTTATTCTAGCATCAAAACTGTAGGAGTCACAGTTTTGGGCGGTTTGTGGGCGTTAGAGTGGGCGTGGCACGCTGCTGAAACAAACTTGCGCTGCGTAAGAAGCTCAGGAATCTGTACTACAAATCTCAATAGCCTAGATCTTATAGTTCCTGAGATCTCAGCGTTCATCCGGACGGACAGACAGACGTACGAACATGGCTAGATCGACTCGGCTAGTGATACTGATCAAGAATATATATACTTTATGGGGTCGGAAACGCTTCCTTCTGCCCGTTACATACTTTCCGAAGAATTTAGTATAACCTTTTACTCTACGAGTAACGGGTATAAAATACAAAAAAAAACACTGAAGCTATAATTTGTTTCATATCATTTTCCCACCAATTTTCCGTTCGTTCCTATGGCAGATATATGATATAGTCGTCCGATTTTAATAAAATTAAATACGAAATTCAGAACTAATTAAAAAATGATTTTTCCAATCGTAGGAGGTTATGTGTTAAAAAACACCGAAGCTATAAATGGTTTCATATTATTTTCCCACCAATTTTCCGATCGTTTCTATGGCAGCTATATGATAGAGTCGTCCGATTTTGATAAAATTAAATTCGAAATTCAGACCTAATTAAAAAATGTTATTTCCAAGCGTAGGAGTTTATATGTTAAAAAACCCCAAAGAAATTAAAAAAAAAATGTTTGTTCCGTTTATTCGTATCGGTGCTATAAGATATAGTTGTCCGATCCGGCTGGTTCCGACTTATATACTACCTGCAAAAGAAATAAGACTTTTGGGAAAGTTTCAGCCCGATAGCTTTAAAACTGAGAGACTAGTTTACGTAGAAACGGACAAACGGACATGGCTATATCGACTCTTCAAGTGATGCTGATAAAGAATATATATACTTTATGGGGTCGGAAACGCTTCCTTCCCTAATAAATACAACTGGAATATTCTTCGATATCTCCACTCGCCCAATTGGACTTAGCGCTGAACTAATCTTTGTGGCTGCAAGCCGAACTTTTGCTCTCGTTATTTTATAATTTAAGACTTAACAAGACACTTTAAGGAAACACTTCTTGACTGTGAGACGGTCGAAATTGGAAAGACCGATTATGCCGCCATAATTCTGCCGGTAACCTCATAGCGATTCTGGGAGATGCCACAAAGCAGGTTGACATTAAGGTCTGTTGCTCTCCTCCCCCTTTCTGCATGCACCCCACCATAGTTCTCTATCTGATTCATAGATGGCGCCTCCCAACTTACGATATTCACTACAAGCGCTACACCTGACGCATTCGGACCCCAATGCTGGCCATGTTGAAATGACGAAGTCCTTGGAGACCCTGCGACGTCAGTTCTATTGGCCAGGAATGCCTATCCAGGTGCGTGAATACGTCCGGGGTTGCGAGGTGTGCAAGGAGTCCAAAGCGCCAAACTTCAGGATGCAGGTCGGAATCGGACGAAGAGTAGAGACGGAAAGGCCATTCCAGAAACTCTACATCGATTTTCTGGGCAAGTATCCGAGGTCCAAGAGTGGACACGCCTGGATATTCATCGTGGGGGACCATTTCTAAAAGTACACCTTCTTAAAGGCGATGAAGGAGGCGACGGCGGCGAACGTAGTGAATTTCCTGGTAAACCAGATATTTTACAAGTTCAGGGTGCCTGAGACGATACATTCGGACAACGGCAAACAGTTCGTATCCAAGGCGTTTGAGGAGATGATTCGGGGCTTCGGTATACAGCACATAAAGACTTCAGTATATTCACCACAGAGCAATGCCGTTTCTTGGACGAAAATCACCGGGAATGGGGTGCACATCTGCCGGAGATTGAGGTGACCATCCGATACATCGTTCACTCAGCCAGAGGAGAAGCGCCGTCACATGTTCGGCCATCACATGTTCCTCAACGGTTCCAGTTACAAGCTAACCAGACGACTCAGGTCCCTGGTCGACCATGAAATTGCCGGAAAGCAGACCAAGGACCACGCCAAGGGGCAAAAGCAACTGGAGGGGCCATACGAGATGAGCCGTGATGAGCAAGCCCGTATGCTGCTCGCCAAGTCAGGCCAATAAGTCTTCCGCCGCATCTTCGTGATGAGTGATTTCAGCAAATCCTTTAACGCCAAGTTTGCTTACAAGTTCCTAAAAGCCAGGGTGGTCAAGTCCGTCGGCAGCAACGCATATTTGCTGGAAGACCTCCAAGGCCGCAGTCTGGGAGTGTATCACGCCAAGGACATCCGGTTGTGATCTGAAAGAAGGAAAAACAAAGTATAGGAGCATCGCGATCACATCTGCTATACTTCACGTCATGCGTAAGCCACGCGTTAGGCGCCGATCGGGCTGCAGCATGGTATAAGTGCCGTGTTGAGTCCCATCCTATCTCCAAAGCACATTTCGTCGTTCTGCTGCTCGTTGCAGCAGCGGTATGATTCTGGCGGGCGATCTGGCCATTTGAGGATTAATCCCGGTTCGCTCTGAGATTACCTTAAATGTGTCCCCTCATGTGTCCAATGGCCAAATTTTGGAAGAGGCCATGAAATATGGTGGGGGAGGAACGATGATGATCGCCAGTTATTAGAAAAGTCGCAGCCATGTTGTCTAATCAGGTGGATGCAGCGGGAAGGCTGGAAACACCAAGTTTTCCTTAAGCCCCAGCGCCACACAGGAAGTGGATGACCTGAAGCTGGCCTTGACGAGCGCCATATTGTCGCAGCCATATTGTCTAATCAAGCGGATGCAGCGGGAAGGCTGGAAACACCAAGATTTCCTCAAGCCCCAGCGCCACCAAGCCCCAGCGCCAAAGTGTGGATGACCTGAAGCTGGCCTTGACGAGCGCGCCGGTCCTGGTTTATGCGGACTTCAAGAAACATTTCTACATTCAGTTCAACGCATCCCACGTTGGCGTCGGCGCGGTATTGTTTTAGCGGAACCAGAACGGTGTAATTTATCAACAACATGTGTACTTTAGCCAGCAAATTACAAACACACAGAACAACTGTTGCAAACGCGTTTGCAAATGGAAACACCTCCGCGTTGCCTATCGCGATTCCTATCGAAAAATCTGAAAAATTCCAAAATTTCGGCGTAGTGGAAATTGGGCTTAGGATCCTGAGCGACCCTGAACGACGGCAGATGGTGGATGGGTTTCTGTGAGAAGAGGCTATAAGCGCCAGTTTACCAAAATGTGCGGTACCTTTTTTAACATGATAATACATAAAGTGGAACGTTTGTAGGCTCTGCATATAATTTAAAGTTGTCGAATATTTTTTAAAATATCGTATCGTATATCGATCATATTTTTGTTAATGATGATGAAAAGTCGATTTAGTGCTTTAAAAGCATTTTTACCTCATTTATTTTAATAAGTAGAGCCTTCACTAGTAGATTAAAAAATATCCATTTTCTTATACAGCTTCCAATATTATTTTTAAAATACTCGTTGGGCTATTTGATTGTCGGTTATCCGACTACGGGAATCGCAAACAACGCTTATAACAGCGCCAGAAACTCTGAAGGTTCTGAGCTAACTTGGGTAACCAGGTATCGTATTGCTATTTTATAAATATATTATATGAAGCGTGGATTTAACTTGACCAACTCAAAAATATCAACAAAACATCACAAAACAACATCGTCTTTTTTATATTCATTCCAATGAATCATATCATGATTCATTTTTATAAAAATAAAAATAGCGGTACATTGATTAAATAATAATGCGATGTTAACTAACAACAAGTGTACAACAGAGCGGGAACAGATCACGTTAAATTCATATCTGGATACATCAAGTACTGGCATCTTCTAAGTGAATAATACCAAACTACTCCAGTAGTGGGAGCATAACGGACACGGTATATTTCAATAATAAATACGCGGTCATATTATTTTATTAGAAATTCTCAGAAAGTAATGAGTTCATATATTGATCCCGACTATTCTATAGGTCGCAACCTGCGACAGAGACAAAGGAGAATAGGCGTTTATAACGCAAATGAAGGAATAGATTCAGACAAAAATAAAAGAAAAGGGAAGAAGAAAGGGCAATGCTTCGGAAAAAATAGCGCGTATGATGAATACGGAAATATCCGCACCAACGGTCTAGATATTTGTGAGAAAATTAAAAACATACTTTCAAGGGTGTCACATAAATCGAAAAGCGCTGAATTGGAGGAAGTTTTTTATTTTGATCACCAAGCTCTGGAGTTCATTTTTGTGGCACCCCTGAAACAGTTGACATTTAAAATAAAATATGTTTATTTTCAGGCGACTGCTTAAATAAAGAATGTGAAGGTTGTTGGTATGAGTGCCGTAGTTGTGGCTCTACCAGATGTGGTCCTCAATGCCGCTCAAATCGAAAGTTCTTCTACGAAGGCATTACCTATGATGGAAAAGACTTATCTATGCATAATAAATATATTCCAAAATAAAGTAATGAATTATTCTATAGGCTTAAGCTACACAATTGAATGAATCGAACAAAACAACCAACTTGTATAACTCTGTGTATATTTATGTATGTATATCCGGTTATATCTAATTAAATAAGAAAACTTCAATTTTTTATAGGTTCTGCCTGACCGTTCGTATGAGCGCCGAGATCTCGGGAACTATAAAAGCTAGAAAGATGGGTTTTGGCAAACAAAGTGTTTAATCTCGGAAACAGCCGAAATGCTGCATATCTCCTTCTCCCTTCCACTTCCTTTAGTTGAGTAACGGGTATGTAATATTCGAGGCCGTCGACTATAGCGTTCATTCTTGTTTTTGACTGAGTTGTCGAGGTCACTCGGACAACCGACCAAATTTTTTTAAATAAGTATAACATTTTGCGGTGTTTATTCTATTTTGCAAATCGTTGGTATCTGTAATTCGATTGTATTTAATTAATTGCATTTGTCAAATTCGCATTTATTTACTTCTTGGACACTGTAACTTGCTGTTCTGTTAAACTGCTATAAATTTGTCTGAGGATGCCCAGCTGGGTATGTTGACGTCGCCTACTCCGCTGGAAGTCATCTATTGAGGACAGGAGAAGAGCTTTCTGTCACTATTACAAAGCTAAATGAAGGGTCCAATCTCAGAGTAATCGGCCATGTATTACTAAGTCATCCAAACATTTTATAATGGACCCGAAATATATTTAAAATAAATAATTTAAACGAATTTATAGGGGCTTTAATATACATTTGTATACAAGAAGCAAAAAATTAACAAGAAAGGAAAGGATACCCACGCAGTTACAATTATTAAATTTAACGAGGAAGATCGCTATAGTCAAGTACCTCGACTATCAGATACCCGTTACTCACGAAAAGGGACCAAAGGGAAATAAAGATATGCAAGCAGCAAAGCGAGATTAAAATGCGCCACCTACCGGGGGTAGACAGATTTAAGCGTTATGGGCGTTAGAGTAAGCGTGGCAAATTTTTTTTTTATCAATCGATAGGTATTGACGCGACCAATACATTTCAGTTAAAATTTTTATTCTAGCATAAAAATTGTGGGCGCCAACAAACGTGCGCTGCGTACAAGGATACGAAATCCAAATCTGAGGTCTCAATTCTCTATCTTTGATAGTTTCCTAGATATTCACGTTCATATTTACGATTCTTTGAAGTTTGTGGGCGTGGCAAACTTTTTTTGGGTCAATCGATAGGTGTTGATGACAACAATACATTCCAGATAAAATTTTTATTCTAGCATCAAAACTGTAGGAGTCACAGTTTTGGGCGGTTTGTGGGCGTTAGAGTGGGCGTGGCACGCTGCTGAAACAAACTTGCGCTGCGTAAGAAGCTCAGGAATCTGTACTACAAATCTCAATAGCAGAGATCTTATAGTTCCTGAGATCTCAGCGTTCATCCGGACGGACAGACAGACGTACGGACATGGCTAGATCGACTCGGCTAGTGATACTGATCAAGAATATATATACTTTATGGGGTCGGAAACGCTTCCTTCTGCCTGTTACATACTTTCCGACGAATTTAGTATAACCGTTTACTCTACGAGTAACGGGTATAAAATACAAAAAAAAACACTGAAGCTATAATTTGTTTTATATCATTTTCCCACCAATTTTCCGATCGTTCCTATGGCAGATATATGATATAGTCGTCCGATTTTGATAAAATTAAATTCGAAATTCAGACCTAATTAAAAAATGTTATTTCCAAGCGTAGGAGTTTATATGTTAAAAAACCCCAAAGAAATTAAAAAAAAAATGTTTGTTCCGTTTATTCGTATGGGTGCTATAAGATATAGTTGTCCGACCCGGCTGGTTCCGACTTATATACTACCTGCAAAAGAAATAAGACTTTTGAGAGACTAGTTTACGTAGAAACGGACAAACGGACATGGCTAGATCGACTCTTCAAGTGATGCTGATAAGAATATATATACTTTATGGGGTCGGAAACGCTTCCTTCCCTAATAAATACAACTGGAATATTCTTCGATATCTCCACTCGCGCAATTGGACTTAGCGCTTTGTGGCTGCAAGCCGAACTTTTGCTCTCGTTATTTTATAATTTAAGACTTAACAAGACACTTTAAGGAAACACTTCTTGACTGTGAGACGGTCAAAATTGGAAAGACCGATTATGCCGCCATAATTCTGCCGGTAACCCCATAGCGATTCTGGGAGATGCCACAAAGCAGGTTGACATTAAGGTCTGTTGCTCTCCTCCCCCTTTTTGCATGCACCCCACCATAGTTCTCTATCTGATTCATAGATGGCGCCTCGCAACTTACGATATTCACTACAAGCGCTACACCTGACGCATTCGGACCCCAATGCTGGCCATGTTGAAATGACGAAGTCCTTGGAGACCCTGCGACGTCAGTTCTATTGGCCAGGAATGCCTATCCAGGTGCGTGAATACGTCCGGGGTTGCGAGGTGTGCAAGGAGTCCAAAGCGCCAAACTTCAGGATGCAGGTCGGAATCGGACGAAGAGTAGAAACGGAAAGGCCATTCCAGAAACTCTACATCGATTTTCTGGGCAAGTATCCGAGGTCCAAGAGTGGACACGCCTGGATATTCATCGTGGTGGACCATTTCTAAAAGTACACCTTCTTAAAGGCGATGAAGGAGGCGACGGCGACGAACGTAGTGAATTTCCTGGTAAACCAGATTTTTTACAAGTTCAGGGTGCCTGAGACGATACATTCGGACAACGGCAAACAGTTCGTATCCAAGGCGTTTGAGGAGATGATTCAGGGCTTCGGTATACAGCACATAAAGACTTCAGTATATTCACCACAGAGCAATGCCGTTTCTTGGACGAAAATCACCGGGAATGGGGTGCACATCTGCCGGAGATTGAGGTGACCATCCGATACATCGTTCACTCAGCCAGAGGAGAAGCGCCGTCACATGTTCGGCCATCACATGTTCCTCAACGGTTCCAGTTACAAGCTAACCAGACGACTCAGGTCCCTGGTCGACCATGAAATTGCCGGAAAGCAGACCAAGGACCACGCCAAGGGGCAAAAGCAACTGGAGGGGCCATACGAGATGAGCCGTGATGAGCAAGCCCGTATGCTGCTCGCCAAGTCAGGCCAATAAGTCTTCCGCCGCATCTTCGTGATGAGTGATTTCAGCAAATCCTTTAACGCCAAGTTTGCTCACAAGTTAATAAAAGCCAGGGTGGTCAAGTCCGTCGGCAGCAACGCATATTTGCTGGAAGACCTCCAAGGCCGCAGTCTGGGAGTGTATCACGCCAAGGACATCCGGTTGTGATCTGAAAGAAGGAAAAACAAAGTATAGGAGCATCGCGATCACATCTGCTATACTTCACGTCATGCGTAAGCCACGCGTTAGGCGCCGATCGGGCTGCAGGATGGTATAAGTGCCGTGTTGAGTCCCATCCTATCTCCAAAGCACATTTCGTCGTTTTGCTGCTCGTTGCAGCAGCGGTATGATTCTGGCGGGCGATCTGGCCATTTGAGGATTAATCCCGGTTCGCTCTGAGATTACCTTAAATGTGTCCCCTCATGTGTCCAATGGCCAAATTTTGGAAGAGGCCATGAAATATGGTGGGGGAGGAACGATGATGATCGCCAGTTATTAGAAAAGTCGCAGCCATGTTGTCTAATCAGGTGGATGCAGCGGGAAGGCTGGAAACACCAAGTTTTCCTTAAGCCCCAGCGCCACACAGGAAGTGGATGACCTGAAGCTGGCCTTGACGAGCGCAATATTGTCGCAGCCATATTGTCTAATCAAGCGGATGCAGCGGGAAGGCTGGAAACACCAAGATTTCCTCAAGCCCCAGCGCCACCAAGCCCCAGCGCCAAAGTGTGGATGACCTGAAGCTGGCCTTGACGAGCGCGCCGGTCCTGGTTTATGCGGACTTCAAGAAACATTTCTAAATTAAAAATTCCAAAATTTCGGCGTAGTGGAAATTGGGCTTAGGATCCTGAGCGACCCTGAACGACGGCAGATGGTGGATGGGTTTCTGTGAGAAGAGGCTATAAGCGCCAGTTTACCAAAATGTGCGGTACCTTTTTTAACATGATAATACATAAAGTGGAACGTTTGTAGGCTCTGCATATAATTTAAAGTTGTCGAATATTTTTTAAAATATCGTATCGTATATCGATCATATTTTTGTTAATGATGATGAAAAGTCGATTTAGTGCTTTAAAAGCATTTTTACCTCATTTATTTTACCAAGTAGAGCCTGCACTAGGTAGATTAAGAAATATCCATTTTCTTATTCAGCTTCCAATATTATTTTTAAAATACTCGTTGGGCTATTTGATTGTCGGTTATCCGACTACGGGAATCGCAAACAACGCTTATAACAGCGCCAGAAACTCTGAAGGTTCTGAGCTAACTTGGGTAACCAGGTATCGTATTGCTATTTTATAAATATATTATATGAAGCGTGGATTTAACTTGACCAACTCAAAAATATCAACAAAACATCACAAAACAACATCGTCTTTTTTATATTCATTCAAATAGCATATCATGATTCATTTTTATAAAAATAGAAATAGCGGTACATTGATTAAATAATAATGCGATGTTAACTAACAACAAGTGTACAACAGAGCGGGAACAGATCACGTTAAATTCATATCTGGATACATCAAGTACTGGCATCTTCTAAGTGAATAATACCAAACTACTCCAGTAGTGGGAGCATAACGGACACGGTATATTTCAATAATAAATACGCGGTCATATTATTTTATTAGAAATTCTCAGAAAGTAATGAGTTCATATATTGATCCCGACTATTCTATAGGTCGCAACCTGCGACAGAGACAAAGGAGAATAGGCGTTTATAACGCAAATGAAGGAATAGATTCAGACAAAAATAAAAGAAAAGGGAAGAAGAAAGGGCAATGCTTCGGAAAAAATAGCGCGTATGATGAATACGGAAATATCCGCATCAACGGTCTAGATATTTGTGAGAAAATTAAAAACATACTTTCAAGGGTGTCACATAAATCGAAAAGCGCTGAATTGGAGGAAGTTTTTTATTTTGATCACCAAGCTCTGGAGTTCATTTTTGTGGCACCCCTGAAACAGTTGACATTTAAAATAAAATATGTTTATTTTCAGGCGACTGCTTAAATAAAGAATGTGAAGGTTGTTGGTATGAGTGCCGTAGTTGTGGCTCTACCAGATGTGGTCCTCAATGCCGCTCAAATCGAAAGTTCTTCTACGAGGGCATTACCTATGATGGAAAAGACTTATCTATGCATAATAAATATATTCCAAAATAAAGTAATGAATTATTCTATAGGCTTAAGCTACACAATTGAATGAATCGAACAAAACAACCAACTTGTATAACTCTGTTATATTTATGTATGTATATCCGGTTATATCTAATTAAATAAGAAAACTTCAATTTTTTATAGGTTCTGCCTGACCGTTCGTATGAGCGCCGAGATCTCGGGAACTATAAAAGCTAGAAAGATGGGTTTTGGCAAACAAAGTGTTTAATCTCGGAAACAGCCGAAATGCTGCATATCTCCTTCTCCCTTCCACTTCCTTTAGTTGAGTAACGGGTATGTAATATTCGAGGCCGTCGACTATAGCGTTCATTCTTGTTTTTGACTGAGTTGTCGAGGTCACTCGGACAACCGACCAAATTTTTTTAAATAAGTATAACATTTTGCGGTGTTTATTCTATTTTGCAAATCGTTGGTATCTGTAATTCGATTGTATTTAATTAATTGCATTTGTCAAATTCGCATTTATTTACTTCTTGGACACTGTAACTTGCTGTTCTGTTAAACTGCTATAAATTTGTCTGAGGATGCCCAGCTGGGTATGTTGACGTCGCCTACTCCGCTGGAAGTCATCTATTGAGGACAGGAGAAGAGCTTTCTGTCACTATTACAAAGCTAAATGAAGGGTCCAATCTCAGAGTAATCGGCCATGTATTACTAAGTCATCCAAACATTTTATAATGGACCCGAAATATATTTAAAATAAATAATTTAAACGAATTTATAGGGGCTTTAATATACATTTGTATACAAGAAGCAAAAAATTAACAAGAAAGGAAAGGATACCCACGCAGTTACAATTATTAAATTTAACGAGGAAGATCGCTATAGTCAAGTACCTCGACTATCAGATACCCGTTACTCACGAAAAGGGACCAAAGGGAAATAAAGATATGCAAGCAGCAAAGCGAGATTAAAATGCGCCACCTACCGGGGGTAGACAGATTTAAGCGTTATGGGCGTTAGAGTAAGCGTGGCAAATTTTTTTTTTATCAATCGATAGGTATTGACGCGACCAATACATTTCAGTTAAAATTTTTATTCTAGCATGAAAATTGTGGGCGTCAACAAACGTGCGCTGCGTACAAGGCTACGAAATCCAAATCTGAGGTCTCAATTCTCTATCTTTGATAGTTTCCTAGATATTCACGTTCATATTTACGATTCTTTGAAGTTTGTGGGCGTGGCAAACTTTTTTTGGGTCAATCGATAGGTGTTGATGACAACAATACATTCCAGATAAAATTTTTATTCTAGCATCAAAACTGTAGGAGTCACAGTTTTGGGCGGTTTGTGGGCGTTAGAGTGGGCGTGGCACGCTGCTGAAACAAACTTGCGCTGCGTAAGAAGCTCAGGAATCTGTACTACAAATCTCAATAGCATAGATCTTATAGTTCCTGAGATCTCAGCGTTCATCCGGACGGACAGACAGACGTACGGACATGGCTAGATCGACTCGGCTAGTGATACTGATCAAGAATATATATACTTTATGGGGTCGGAAACGCTTCCTTCTGCCTGTTACATACTTTCCGACGAATTTAGTATAACCGTTTACTCTACGAGTAACGGGTATAAAATAAAAAAAAAAACACTGAAGCTATAATTTGTTTCATATCATTTTCCCACCAATTTTCCGATCGTTCCTATGGCAGATATATGATATAGTCGTCCGATTTTGATAAAATTAAATTCGAAATTCAGACCTAATTAAAAAATGTTATTTCCAAGCGTAGGAGTTTATATGTTAAAAAACCCCAAAGAAATTAAAAAAAAAATGTTTGTTCCGTTTATTCGTATGGGTGCTATAAGATATAGTTGTCCGACCCGGCTGGTTCCGACTTATATACTACCTGCAAAAGAAATAAGACTTTTGAGAGACTAGTTTACGTAGAAACGGACAAACGGACATGGCTAGATCGACTCTTCAAGTGATGCTGATAAAGAATATATATACTTTATGGGGTCGGAAACGCTTCCTTCCCTAATAAATACAACTGGAATATTCTTCGATATCTCCACTCGCGCAATTGGACTTAGCGCTGAACTAATCTTTGTGGCTGCAAGCCGAACTTTTGCTCTCGTTATTTTATAATTTAAGACTTAACAAGACACTTTAAGGAAACACTTCTTGACTGTGAGACGGTCAAAATTGGAAAGACCGATTATGCCGCCATAATTCTGCCGGTAACCCCATAGCGATTCTGGGAGATGCCACAAAGCAGGTTGACATTAAGGTCTGTTGCTCTCCTCCCCCTTTTTGCATGCACCCCACCATAGTTCTCTATCTGATTCATAGATGGCGCCTCGCAACTTACGATATTCACTACAAGCGCTACACCTGACGCATTCGGACCCCAATGCTGGCCATGTTGAAATGACGAAGTCCTTGGAGACCCTGCGACGTCAGTTCTATTGGCCAGGAATGCCTATCCAGGTGCGTGAATACGTCCGGGGTTGCGAGGTGTGCAAGGAGTCCAAAGCGCCAAACTTCAGGATGCAGGTCGGAATCGGACGAAGAGTAGAAACGGAAAGGCCATTCCAGAAACTCTACATCGATTTTCTGGGCAAGTATCCGAGGTCCAAGAGTGGACACGCCTGGATATTCATCGTGGTGGACCATTTCTAAAAGTACACCTTCTTAAAGGCGATGAAGGAGGCGACGGCGACGAACGTAGTGAATTTCCTGGTAAACCAGATATTTTACAAGTTCAGGGTGCCTGAGACGATACATTCGGACAACGGCAAACAGTTCGTATCCAAGGCGTTTGAGGAGATGATTCAGGGCTTCGGTATACAGCACATAAAGACTTCAGTATATTCACCACAGAGCAATGCCGTTTCTTGGACGAAAATCACCGGGAATGGGGTGCACATCTGCCGGAGATTGAGGTGACCATCCGATACATCGTTCACTCAGCCAGAGGAGAAGCGCCGTCTCATGTTCGGCCATCACATGTTCCTCAACGGTTCCAGTTACAAGCTAACCAGACGACTCAGGTCCCTGGTCGACCATGAAATTGCCGGAAAGCAGACCAAGGACCACGCCAAGGGGCAAAAGCAACTGGAGGGGCCATACGAGATGAGCCGTGATGAGCAAGCCCGTATGCTGCTCGCCAAGTCAGGCCAATAAGTCTTCCGCCGCATCTTCGTGATGAGTGATTTCAGCAAATCCTTTAACGCCAAGTTTGCTCATAAAGTTAATAAAAGCCAGGGTGGTCAAGTCCGTCGGCAGCAACGCATATTTGCTGGAAGACCTCCAAGGCCGCAGTCTGGGAGTGTATCACGCCAAGGACATCCGGTTGTGATCTGAAAGAAGGAAAAACAAAGTATAGGAGCATCGCGATCACATCTGCTATACTTCACGTCATGCGTAAGCCACGCGTTAGGCGCCGATCGGGCTGCAGCATGGTATAAGTGCCGTGTTGAGTCCCATCCTATCTCCAAAGCACATTTCGTCGTTCTGCTGCTCGTTGCAGCAGCGGTATGATTCTGGCGGGCGATCTGGCCATTTGAGGATTAATCCCGGTTCGCTCTGAGATTACCTTAAATGTGTCCCCTCATGTGTCCAATGGCCAAATTTTGGAAGAGGCCATGAAATATGGTGGGGGAGGAACGATGATGATCGCCAGTTATTAGAAAAGTCGCAGCCATGTTGTCTAATCAGGTGGATGCAGCGGGAAGGCTGGAAACACCAAGTTTTCCTTAAGCCCCAGCGACACACAGGAAGTGGATGACCTGAAGCTGGCCTTGACGAGCGCAATATTGTCGCAGCCATATTGTCTAATCAAGCGGATGCAGCGGGAAGGCTGGAAACACCAAGATTTCCTCAAGCCCCAGCGCCACCAAGCCCCAGCGCCAAAGTGTGGATGACCTGAAGCTGGCCTTGACGAGCGCGCCGGTCCTGGTTTATGCGGACTTCAAGAAACATTTCTAAATTAAAAATTCCAAAATTTCGGCGTAGTGGAAATTGGGCTTAGGATCCTGAGCGACCCTGAACGACGGCAGATGGTGGATGGGTTTCTGTGAGAAGAGGCTATAAGCGCCAGTTTACCAAAATGTGCGGTACCTTTTTTAACATGATAATACATAAAGTGGAACGTTTGTAGGCTCTGCATATAATTTAAAGTTGTCGAATATTTTTTAAAATATCGTATCGTATATCGATCATATTTTTGTTAATGATGATGAAAAGTCGATTTAGTGCTTTAAAAGCATTTTTACCTCATTTATTTTACCAAGTAGAGCCTGCACTAGGTAGATTAAGAAATATCCATTTTCTTATTCAGCTTCCAATATTATTTTTAAAATACTCGTTGGGCTATTTGATTGTCGGTTATCCGACTACGGGAATCGCAAACAACGCTTATAACAGCGCCAGAAACTCTGAAGGTTCTGAGCTAACTTGGGTAACCAGGTATCGTATTGCTATTTTATAAATATATTATATGAAGCGTGGATTTAACTTGACCAACTCAAAAATATCAACAAAACATCACAAAACAACATCGTCTTTTTTATATTCATTCAAATAGCATATCATGATTCATTTTTATAAAAATAGAAATAGCGGTACATTGATTAAATAATAATGCGATGTTAACTAACAACAAGTGTACAACAGAGCGGGAACAGATCACGTTAAATTCATATCTGGATACATCAAGTACTGGCATCTTCTAAGTGAATAATACCAAACTACTCCAGTAGTGGGAGCATAACGGACACGGTATATTTCAATAATAAATACGCGGTCATATTATTTTATTAGAAATTCTCAGAAAGTAATGAGTTCATATATTGATCCCGACTATTCTATAGGTCGCAACCTGCGACAGAGACAAAGGAGAATAGGCGTTTATAACGCAAATGAAGGAATAGATTCAGACAAAAATAAAAGAAAAGGGAAGAAGAAAGGGCAATGCTTCGGAAAAAATAGCGCGTATGATGAATACGGAAATATCCGCATCAACGGTCTAGATATTTGTGAGAAAATTAAAAACATACTTTCAAGGGTGTCACATAAATCGAAAAGCGCTGAATTGGAGGAAGTTTTTTATTTTGATCACCAAGCTCTGGAGTTCATTTTTGTGGCACCCCTGAAACAGTTGACATTTAAAATAAAATATGTTTATTTTCAGGCGACTGCTTAAATAAAGAATGTGAAGGTTGTTGGTATGAGTGCCGTAGTTGTGGCTCTACCAGATGTGGTCCTCAATGCCGCTCAAATCGAAAGTTCTTCTACGAGGGCATTACCTATGATGGAAAAGACTTATCTATGCATAATAAATATATTCCAAAATAAAGTAATGAATTATTCTATAGGCTTAAGCTACACAATTGAATGAATCGAACAAAACAACCAACTTGTATAACTCTGTGTATATTTATGTATGTATATCCGGTTATATCTAATTAAATAAGAAAACTTCAATTTTTTATAGGTTCTGCCTGACCGTTCGTATGAGCGCCGAGATCTCGGGAACTATAAAAGCTAGAAAGATGGGTTTTGGCAAACAAAGTGTTTAATCTCGGAAACAGCCGAAATGCTGCATATCTCCTTCTCCCTTCCACTTCCTTTAGTTGAGTAACGGGTATGTAATATTCGAGGCCGTCGACTATAGCGTTCATTCTTGTTTTTGACTGAGTTGTCGAGGTCACTCGGACAACCGACCAAATTTTTTTAAATAAGTATAACATTTTGCGGTGTTTATTCTATTTTGCAAATCGTTGGTATCTGTAATTCGATTGTATTTAATTAATTGCATTTGTCAAATTCGCATTTATTTACTTCTTGGACACTGTAACTTGCTGTTCTGTTAAACTGCTATAAATTTGTCTGAGGATGCCCAGCTGGGTATGTTGACGTCGCCTACTCCGCTGGAAGTCATCTATTGAGGACAGGAGAAGAGCTTTCTGTCACTATTACAAAGCTAAATGAAGGGTCCAATCTCAGAGTAATCGGCCATGTATTACTAAGTCATCCAAACATTTTATAATGGACCCGAAATATATTTAAAATAAATAATTTAAACGAATTTATAGGGGCTTTAATATACATTTGTATACAAGAAGCAAAAAATTAACAAGAAAGGAAAGGATACCCACGCAGTTACAATTATTAAATTTAACGAGGAAGATCGCTATAGTCAAGTACCTCGACTATCAGATACCCGTTACTCACGAAAAGGGACCAAAGGGAAATAAAGATATGCAAGCAGCAAAGCGAGATTAAAATGCGCCACCTACCGGGGGTAGACAGATTTAAGCGTTATGGGCGTTAGAGTAAGCGTGGCAAATTTTTTTTTTATCAATCGATAGGTATTGACGCGACCAATACATTTCAGTTAAAATTTTTATTCTAGCATAAAAATTGTGGGCGCCAACAAACGTGCGCTGCGTACAAGGCTACGAAATCCAAATCTGAGGTCTCAATTCTCTATCTTTGATAGTTTCCTAGATATTCACGTTCATATTTACGATTCTTTGAAGTTTGTGGGCGTGGCAAACTTTTTTTGGGTCAATCGATAGGTGTTGATGACAACAATACATTCCAGATAAAATTTTTATTCTAGCATCAAAACTGTAGGAGTCACAGTTTTGGGCGGTTTGTGGGCGTTAGAGTGGGCGTGGCACGCTGCTGAAACAAACTTGCGCTGCGTAAGAAGCTCAGGAATCTGTACTACAAATCTCAATAGCATAGATCTTATAGTTCCTGAGATCTCAGCGTTCATCCGGACGGACAGACAGACGTACGGACATGGCTAGATCGACTCGGCTAGTGATACTGATCAAGAATATATATACTTTATGGGGTCGGAAACGCTTCCTTCTGCCCGTTACATACTTTCCGACGAATTTAGTATAACCTTTTACTCTACGAGTAACGGGTATAAAATACAAAAAAAAACACTGAAGCTATAATTTGTTTCATATCATTTTCCCACCAATTTTCCGATCGTTCCTATGGCAGATATTTGATTTAGTCGTCCGATTTTGATAAAATTAAATTCGAAATTCAGACCTAATTAAAAAATGTTATTTCCAAGCGTAGGAGTTTATATGTTAAAAAACCCCAAAGAAATTAAAAAAAAAATGTTTGTTCCGTTTATTCGTATGGGTGCTATAAGATATAGTTGTCCGATCCGGCTGGTTCCGACTTATATACTACCTGCAAAAGAAATAAGACTTTTGGGAAAGTTTCAGCCCGATAGCTTTAAAACTGAGAGACTAGTTTACGTAGAAACGGACAAACGGACATGGCTAGATCGACTCTTCAAGTGATGCTGATAAAGAATATATATACTTTATGGGGTCGGAAACGCTTCCTTCCCTAATAAATACAACTGGAATATTCTTCGATATCTCCACTCGCGCAATTGGACTTAGCGCTGAACTAATCTTTGTGGCTGCAAGCCGAACTTTTGCTCTCGTTATTTTATAATTTAAGACTTAACAAGACACTTTAAGGAAACACTTCTTGACTGTGAGACGGTCAAAATTGGAAAGACCGATTATGCCGCCATAATTCTGCCGGTAACCTCATAGCGATTCTGGGAGATGCCACAAAGCAGGTTGACATTAAGGTCTGTTGCTCTCCTCCCCCTTTTTGCATGCACCCCACCATAGTTCTCTATCTGATTCATAGATGGCGCCTCCCAACTTACGATATTCACTACAAGCGCTACACCTGACGCATTCGGACCCCAATGCTGGCCATGTTGAAATGACGAAGTCCTTGGAGACCCTGCGACGTCAGTTCTATTGGCCAGGAATGCCTATCCAGGTGCGTGAATACGTCCGGGGTTGCGAGGTGTGCAAGGAGTCCAAAGCGCCAAACTTCAGGATGCAGGTCGGAATCGGACGAAGAGTAGAAACGGAAAGGCCATTCCAGAAACTCTACATCGATTTTCTGGGCAAGTATCCGAGGTCCAAGAGTGGACACGCCTGGATATTCATCGTGGTGGACCATTTCTAAAAGTACACCTTCTTAAAGGCGATGAAGGAGGCGACGGCGACGAACGTAGTGAATTTCCTGGTAAACCAGATATTTTACAAGTTCAGGGTGCCTGAGACGATACATTCGGACAACGGCAAACAGTTCGTATCCAAGGCGTTTGAGGAGATGATTCAGGGCTTCGGTATACAGCACATAAAGACTTCAGTATATTCACCACAGAGCAATGCCGTTTCTTGGACGAAAATCACCGGGAATGGGGTGCACATCTGCCGGAGATTGAGGTGACCATCCGATACATCGTTCACTCAGCCAGAGGAGAAGCGCCGTCACATGTTCGGCCATCACATGTTCCTCAACGGTTCCAGTTACAAGCTAACCAGACGACTCAGGTCCCTGGTCGACCATGAAATTGCCGGAAAGCAGACCAAGGACCACGCCAAGGGGCAAAAGCAACTGGAGGGGCCATACGAGATGAGCCGTGATGAGCAAGCCCGTATGCTGCTCGCCAAGTCAGGCCAATAAGTCTTCCGCCGCATCTTCGTGATGAGTGATTTCAGCAAATCCTTTAACGCCAAGTTTGCTCACAAGTTAATAAAAGCCAGGGTGGTCAAGTCCGTCGGCAGCAACGCATATTTGCTGGAAGACCTCCAAGGCCGCAGTCTGGGAGTGTATCACGCCAAGGACATCCGGTTGTGATCTGAAAGAAGGAAAAACAAAGTATAGGAGCATCGCGATCACATCTGCTATACTTCACGTCATGCGTAAGCCACGCGTTAGGCGCCGATCGGGCTGCAGCATGGTATAAGTGCCGTGTTGAGTCCCATCCTATCTCCAAAGCACATTTCGTCGTTTTGCTGCTCGTTGCAGCAGCGGTATGATTCTGGCGGGCGATCTGGCCATTTGAGGATTAATCCCGGTTCGCTCTGAGATTACCTTAAATGTGTCCCCTCATGTGTCCAATGGCCAAATTTTGGGAGAGGCCATGAAATATGGTGGGGGAGGAACGATGATGATCGCCAGTTATTAGAAAAGTCGCAGCCATGTTGTCTAATCAGGTGGATGCAGCGGGAAGGCTGGAAACACCAAGTTTTCCTTAAGCCCCAGCGCCACACAGGAAGTGGATGACCTGAAGCTGGCCTTGACGAGCGCAATATTGTCGCAGCCATATTGTCTAATCAAGCGGATGCAGCGGGAAGGCTGGAAACACCAAGATTTCCTCAAGCCCCAGCGCCACCAAGCCCCAGCGCCAAAGTGTGGATGACCTGAAGCTGGCCTTGACGAGCGCGCCGGTCCTGGTTTATGCGGACTTCAAGAAACATTTCTAAATTAAAAATTCCAAAATTTCGGCGTAGTGGAAATTGGGCTTAGGATCCTGAGCGACCCTGAACGACGGCAGATGGTGGATGGGTTTCTGTGAGAAGAGGCTATAAGCGCCAGTTTACCAAAATGTGCGGTACCTTTTTTAACATGATAATACATAAAGTGGAACGTTTGTAGGCTCTGCATATAATTTAAAGTTGTCGAATATTTTTTAAAATATCGTATCGTATATCGATCATATTTTTGTTAATGATGATGAAAAGTCGATTTAGTGCTTTAAAAGCATTTTTACCTCATTTATTTTACCAAGTAGAGCCTGCACTAGGTAGATTAAGAAATATCCATTTTCTTATTCAGCTTCCAATATTATTTTTAAAATACTCGTTGGGCTATTTGATTGTCGGTTATCCGACTACGGGAATCGCAAACAACGCTTATAACAGCGCCAGAAACTCTGAAGGTTCTGAGCTAACTTGGGTAACCAGGTATCGTATTGCTATTTTATAAATATATTATATGAAGCGTGGATTTAACTTGACCAACTCAAAAATATCAACAAAACATCACAAAACAACATCGTCTTTTTTATATTCATTCAAATAGCATATCATGATTCATTTTTATAAAAATAAAAATAGCGGTACATTGATTAAATAATAATGCGATGTTAACTAACAACAAGTGTACAACAGAGCGGGAACAGATCACGTTAAATTCATATCTGGATACATCAAGTACTGGCATCTTCTAAGTGAATAATACCAAACTACTCCAGTAGTGGGAGCATAACGGACACGGTATATTTCAATAATAAATACGCGGTCATATTATTTTATTAGAAATTCTCAGAAAGTAATGAGTTCATATATTGATCCCGACTATTCTATAGGTCGCAACCTGCGACAGAGACAAAGGAGAATAGGCGTTTATAACGCAAATGAAGGAATAGATTCAGACAAAAATAAAAGAAAAGGGAAGAAGAAAGGGCAATGCTTCGGAAAAAATAGCGCGTATGATGAATACGGAAATATCCGCATCAACGGTCTAGATATTTGTGAGAAAATTAAAAACATACTTTCAAGGGTGTCACATAAATCGAAAAGCGCTGAATTGGAGGAAGTTTTTTATTTTGATCACCAAGCTCTGAAGTTCATTTTTGTGGCACCCCTGAAACAGTTGACATTTAAAATAAAATATGTTTATTTTCAGGCGACTGCTTAAATAAAGAATGTGAAGGTTGTTGGTATGAGTGCCGTAGTTGTGGCTCTACCAGATGTGGTCCTCAATGCCGCTCAAATCGAAAGTTCTTCTACGAAGGCATTACCTATGATAGAAAAGACTTATCTATGCATAATAAATATATTCCAAAATAAAGTAATGAATTATTCTATAGGCTTAAGCTACACAATTGAATGAATCGAACAAAACAACCAACTTGTATAACTCTGTGTATATTTATGTATGTATATCCGGTTATATCTAATTAAATAAGAAAACTTCAATTTTTTATAGGTTCTGCCTGACCGTTCGTATGAGCGCCGAGATCTCGGGAACTATAAAAGCTAGAAAGATGGGTTTTGGCAAACAAAGTGTTTAATCTCGGAAACAGCCGAAATGCTGCATATCTCCTTCTCCCTTCCACTTCCTTTAGTTGAGTAACGGGTATGTAATATTCGAGGCCGTCGACTATAGCGTTCATTCTTGTTTTTGACTGAGTTGTCGAGGTCACTCGGACAACCGACCAAATTTTTTTAAATAAGTATAACATTTTGCGGTGTTTATTCTATTTTGCAAATCGTTGGTATCTGTAATTCGATTGTATTTAATTAATTGCATTTGTCAAATTCGCATTTATTTACTTCTTGGACACTGTAACTTGCTGTTCTGTTAAACTGCTATAAATTTGTCTGAGGATGCCCAGCTGGGTATGTTGACGTCGCCTACTCCGCTGGAAGTCATCTATTGAGGACAGGAGAAGAGCTTTCTGTCACTATTACAAAGCTAAATGAAGGGTCCAATCTCAGAGTAATCGGCCATGTATTACTAAGTCATCCAAACATTTTATAATGGACCCGAAATATATTTAAAATAAATAATTTAAACGAATTTATAGGGGCTTTAATATACATTTGTATACAAGAAGCAAAAAATTAACAAGAAAGGAAAGGATACCCACGCAGTTACAATTATTAAATTTAACGAGGAAGATCGCTATAGTCAAGTACCTCGACTATCAGATACCCGTTACTCACGAAAAGGGACCAAAGGGAAATAAAGATATGCAAGCAGCAAAGCGAGATTAAAATGCGCCACCTACCGGGGGTAGACAGATTTAAGCGTTATGGGCGTTAGAGTAAGCGTGGCAAATTTTTTTTTTATCAATCGATAGGTATTGACGCGACCAATACATTTCAGTTAAAATTTTTATTCTAGCATAAAAATTGTGGGCGTCAACAAACGTGCGCTGCGTACAAGGCTACGAAATCCAAATCTGAGGTCTCAATTCTCTATCTTTGATAGTTTCCTAGATATTCACGTTCATATTTACGATTCTTTGAAGTTTGTGGGCGGGGCAAACTTTTTTGGGTCAATCGATAGGTGTTGATGACAACAATACATTCCAGATAAAATTTTTATTCTAGCATCAAAACTGTAGGAGTCACAGTTTTGGGCGGTTTGTGGGCGTTAGAGTGGGCGTGGCACGCTGCTGAAACAAACTTGCGCTGCGTAAGAAGCTCAGGAATCTGTACTACAAATCTCAATAGCATAGATCTTATAGTTCCTGAGATCTCAGCGTTCATCCGGACGGACAGACAGACGTACGGACATGGCTAGATCGACTCGGCTAGTGATACTGATCAAGAATATATATACTTTATGGGGTCGGAAACGCTTCCTTCTGCCCGTTACATACTTTCCGACGAATTTAGTATAACCTTTTACTCTACGAGTAACGGGTATAAAATACAAAAAAAAACACTGAAGCTATAATTTGTTTCATATCATTTTCCCACCAATTTTCCGATCGTTCCTATTGCAGATATTTGATTTAGTCGTCCGATTTTGATAAAATTAAATTCGAAATTCAGACCTAATTAAAAAATGTTATTTCCAAGCGTAGGAGTTTATATGTTAAAAAACCCCAAAGAAATTAAAAAAAAAATGTTTGTTCCGTTTATTCGTATCGGTGCTATAAGATATAGTTGTCCGATCCGGCTGGTTCCGACTTATATACTACCTGCAAAAGAAATAAGACTTTTGGGAAAGTTTCAGCCCGATAGCTTTAAAACTGAGAGACTAGTTTACGTAGAAACGGACAAACGGACATGGCTATATCGACTCTTCAAGTGATGCTGATAAAGAATATATATACTTTATGGGGTCGGAAACGCTTCCTTCCCTAATAAATACAACTGGAATATTCTTCGATATCTCCACTCGCCCAATTGGACTTAGCGCTGAACTAATCTTTGTGGCTGCAAGCCGAACTTTTGCTCTCGTTATTTTATAATTTAAGACTTAACAAGACACTTTAAGGAAACACTTCTTGACTGTTAGACGGTCAAAATTGGAAAGACCGATTATGCCGCCATAATTCTGCCGGTAACCCCATAGCGATTTTGGGAGATGCCACAAAGCAGGTTGACATTAAGGTCTGTTGCTCTCCTCCCCCTTTCTGCATGCACCCCACCATAGTTCTCTATCTGATTCATAGATGGCGCCTCCCAACTTACGATATTCACTACAAGCGCTACACCTGACGCATTCAGACCCCAATGCTGGCCATGTTGAAATGACGAAGTCCTTGGAGACCCTGCGACGTCAGTTCTATTGGCCAGGAATGCCTATCCAGGTGCGTGAATACGTCCGGGGTTGCGAGGTGTGCAAGGAGTCCAAAGCGCCAAACTTCAGGATGCAGGTCGGAATCGGACGAAGAGTAGAGACGGAAAGGCCATTCCAGAAACTCTACATCGATTTTCTGGGCAAGTATCCGAGGTCCAAGAGTGGACACGCCTGGATATTCATCGTGGTGGACCATTTCTAAAAGTACACCTTCTTAAAGGCGATGAAGGAGGCGACGGCGGCGAACGTAGTGAATTTCCTGGTAAACCAGATATTTTACAAGTTCAGGGTGCCTGAGACGATACATTCGGACAACGGCAAACAGTTCGTATCCAAGGGGTTTGAGGAGATGATTCGGGGCTTCGGTATACAGCACATAAAGACTTCAGTATATTCACCACAGAGCAATGCCGTTTCTTGGACGAAAATCACCGGGAATGGGGTGCACATCTGCCGGAGATTGAGGTGACCATCCGATACATCGTTCACTCAGCCAGAGGAGAAGCGCCGTCACATGTTCGGCCATCACATGTTCCTCAACGGTTCCAGTTACAAGCTAACCAGACGACTCAGGTCCCTGGTCGACCATGAAATTGCCGAAAAGCAGACCAAGGACCACGCCAAGGGGCAAAAGCAACTGGAGGGGCCATACGAGATGAGCCGTGATGAGCAAGCCCGTATGCTGCTCGCCAAGTCAGGCCAATAAGTCTTCCGCCGCATCTTCGTGATGAGTGATTTCAGCAAATCCTTTAATGCCAAGTTTGCTCACAAGTTAATAAAAGCCAGGGTGGTCAAGTCCGTCGGCAGCAACGCATATTTGCTGGAAGACCTCCAAGGCCGCAGTCTGGGAGTGTATCACGCCAAGGACATCCGGTTGTGATCTGAAAGAAGGAAAAACAAAGTATAGGAGCATCGCGATCACATCTGCTATACTTCACGTCATGCGTAAGCCACGCGTTAGGCGCCGATCGGGCTGCAGCATGGTATAAGTGCCGTGTTGAGTCCCATCCTATCTCCAAAGCACATTTCGTCGTTCTGCTGCTCGTTGCAGCAGCGGTATGATTCTGGCGGGCGATCTGGCCATTTGAGGATTAATCCCGGTTCGCTCTGAGATTACCTTAAATGTGTCCCCTCATGTGTCCAATGGCCAAATTTTGGGAGAGGCCATGAAATATGGTGGGGGAGGAACGATGATGATCGCCAGTTATTAGAAAAGTCGCAGCCATGTTGTCTAATCAGGTGGATGCAGCGGGAAGGCTGGAAACACCAAGTTTTCCTTAAGCCCCAGCGCCACACAGGAAGTGGATGACCTGAAGCTGGCCTTGACGAGCGCCATATTGTCGCAGCCATATTGTCTATTCAAGCGGATGCAGCGGGAAGGCTGGAAACACCAAGATTTCCTCAAGCCCCAGCGCCACCAAGCCCCAGCGCCAAAGTGTGGATGACCTGAAGCTGGCCTTGACGAGCGCGCCGGTCCTGGTTTATGCGGACTTCAAGAAACATTTCTACATTCAGTTCAACGCATCCCACGTTGGCGTCGGTGCGGTATTGTTTTAGCGGAACCAGAACGGAGACGAGCGCCTATCGCGTTGTTCTCGGCCAAGATGAACAAACACCAGGTTAATTACTTGTTCACGGAAAAGGAGTGTCTGGCGGCCATCCTAGCCATTCGGAAGTTCAGACCGTATGTGGAAGGTATGCCGTTCACATGCATTACTGGTCACGCCAGCCTAAAGTGGTTGATGACAATGAAGGATCTGACCGGACGACTCGTATGGTGGTCTGTCCAGCTGCAGGGCTACGATTTCCGCTTTAAACATCGCAAAGGCAGCGAGAACGTAGTCGCCGACAATCTATCCCGCATTATCGAGGATGTCCGGATAGATCCATCGGAGTTACTGGGATTCCAGACGACCGAATTTACTACGGAGGATTGCACGGAATTAGTGCAAGACGTGGAGTGCAACAGGGAGCCCTTACCGGACCTCAAGGTGGACGGCGGACTAATCTTCAAGCGCATGAGTATACCGAAAGTGGACGAATAATTAAAAGGATCCGAATGGAAGCTGTGGATCCCGCAAAGCCTGACCCACAGCTTCATATAGCATGCTCATTCGGACCCCAAAACTGGCCATGGTGGGATGACAATGACCTTGGAGACCCTGCGACGCCAGTTCTATTGACCGGAGATAACTATCCAGGTGCGTGAATACGTCCGGGGTTGCGAGGAGTCCAAAGCGCCAAACTTAAGGATGCAGGTCCTAATCGGAAGAAGGGTAGAGACGGAAAGACCATTCCAGAAACTCTAGATTCTTGGTAAACGAGGAATTTTACAAGTTCGGGGTGCTTGAGACGATCCATTCGGACAACGCAAACAGTTCGTATCCAAGGCGTTTGAGGAGATGATCGATGGCTTCGGTATACAGCACATGAAGACTCCAGTATACTCACCACAGAGCAATGCCGCGAAGAGAGTTAACAGGAATGTCTTGGCCGGGAATGTCACCGGGAATGGGATGCACACCTGCCGGAGATTGAGGTGGCCATCGTTCTTCACCGTATTTGGCCATCAGTTACAAGCTAGCCAGACGACTCAGGTCCCTGGTCGACCATGAAATTGCCGGAATGCAGACCAAGGACAAGCTTCAAATAATCCAAGCCAAAGTGCATAAGCAACTGGACGGGGCATACGAGATGAGCCGGCAGCGCTATGATAAGCGAGCCCGTACGTTGCTCGCCAAGCCGGGGCAAGAAGTCTTCCGCCGCAACTTCGTGCTAAGTGATTTCAGCAAATCTTTTAACGCCAAGTTTGCTCGCAAATTCTTAAAAGCCAGGGTGGTCAAATCCGTCGGCAGCAATGCATTCTTGCTGGAGGAGTGTAGTCTGGGAGTGTATTACGCCAAAGACATCCGGTTGTGATCTGAAATATGGAGAAACAAAGTATACGAGCATCGCGATCACATCTGCTAAAGTTCCCGTCATGCGTGGACCCGCCTTAGGCGCCGATCGAACTGCAGGATGGTATCAGTGCCGTGTTGAGTCCCATCCTATCTCCAAAGGTACCAATTATTTCGTCGTTCTGCTGAAACTCCGGGAAGCACCTCTCGAAATCTTTGGTTAATGTTGCAATTGG